TCACCCAAAAGTCTGAAGTAAAACATCATTAGGATTCCCTTCATATTCTGAAGGTAACTCCCAGGATTTTTGCAGGATGAGGAGATGAAGAGTGTGAAACTTGCAACTGGTCCACTGACTCAGCAGGATATGAGGTGATCGTAACTTAGTGGTAGTGGAATAAAGTCATTTTGCATGTGTGAAAAAGCATTAATCTCCCTTTCAAACTCTACATCGTATCATATTTCATAAATTGAACTATTAGATCAGGAGCCTGAGTTTTATAAGTGATTACTTCTAAGTTCAGTGGTGTTCATTCATAAGTAGATGCTTTGGGATGGAATTTGAACATGGCACTAAGTAAAAGAACAGATACAGGATGCCCTTTTCCTGGTTAGCTGGGCAGGGCTGAATGTCTTCTTCCTTGACAATCCTACTAGGTAAATGAAACTAAGAAATCAACACAAGAAGGCTAAAGCTACTTTTATTGAGATGTGCTGTAAGAACATAAACTTGCAAGTCTGATTGTCATATAGCTCATCTTCCTTTTTACAGTTCAGTGAATTAGGAAGTATTCTGAGCTGCATTTGAACAGATGGAAATTCTGGACTTAAATAAACTTTTCTCTGATTATTTCCATCAAGCTATATTTTCTTATTCTGTATTCTCATCCTCTCTTTAGCTGGGCCTTGGGTTGCACTGCCATCAGATTTGCATTATATATCTGCATTGAGATAAAATACCAGATAGAAGCAGGTATACAGGTGGTCCTTGGCTTATTTCATAATGAACCTGGCCATCATGGTCATAAGTCATGATGGTCATAACATGGGTTAGTTATGTGAAGACATGATTTTATGATCTTTTTTGTGATGATTGCTAAACAAATCATGGTCATTAAGCAACTGCATGGTTGTTAAGCGAATCCCACAGTTGTTAAGTGAATCAGTTCACTACGGGCTCGGTTTTGTTGAAAACCGAGTACAGTAAGTGCCAGTTTTTGGCAAATTGTCATAAAAGTGGCTGTGTTTCCAAGCACCCGAAGTTTCACTGGCATGACCTCAGAGGGAGTGATGACTATCGTAACTTTGAATCTGGGTCATAAGTAGCCCTGAGGTAGGCCTATCATAACTTCAAGTGGTTGCTAAGCAACAAATCCTAAATTGAGGACAATCTGTATTTAACATGTTATTTTTGCAAACATTATTAAGATCATTGCTGCAGGTGGCCTAAACTGATTTAGGTAAAAGCAATAAAGAAAACCTTCAAAAAGAAAGAATGGGAAGATTATTATTGTCTGATTTTTTTTAAAAAATAGTGGCTGTTGCACCTTATTTTTGGATTCTCAAGAAAGAGGAGAAAATGACTTCTCCTTACTTGACAATGTAACTGAGAAATGGGAAGGCATTTTCAAGCCAGCCATGCCAGAGACGTGTACCTGCAAAGCAGCAGCAGCCCCAGGAGAGCAGTCAAAAAAGGCATGATGGTGTTTATGCATACGATCAAAGCCCTAGAATGCTGATATGGATACAAGAGGAGAGGGGGTTTCCCTCCAACTGCAGAGTTACAACTGCCATTTTGACTTTTTCACACACACACACACACACACACACACACACACACACACACCTGCAGCAGGATAACACATACATAGATCCAGAAAATGTTTACAGACAGTCCTCGATATACAACCATAATGGAGTCTGCCATCTATGTTGTGACCATTGTAAAGTGGATTAGAGTTGGTCATAACTCTGAACAGTCTCTAAGTGTAGTTCTGGAAGTTTCCCAGGTTGCTGAAAGACTACAGTAGTAGCCCAAATCATGAATGAAATGAAGACCCTAAAATGAGGACAATGTCTGCATCATCATCATCATCAACAACAACAATTACATTTTGTTCTGTTTCTCTTCCCCCCACAAGTTATGTCATGTCATATAGTCAAACTAGGCTAAGTGGGATCAGGCCCAGTGAGTATTTGGATGGGAGATGCCCAGGAAATCTCAGACAAGTGTCAGATAGCATCCCAGAAGCAAGCAATGGCAAACTGTTGCCAAAAACCTTACATGGCTGCCCATGAAGTTGTGAAAAATGAAGCTTTACCTTTTTTAAAAAGCATTTTATATTCTAAAAACAAGAAGGGAAAATATGCTTCTCTGTGACTGGATTTAATAATATTAAATAACTACACTTTTTTATATTAATAGTGTCTGGATCTTTTATCTCCCTCTCTCTAGGTTATTTTAATTACTGTTAAGCATAATCGTGTTGCTCTTCCTCTCCACATAATATGCCGCCAATAAAACTATCAACAACAACAATAATCAAGAGATGAAATTGGAAGACTTGATTTATTTCTTCTCAAAGAAATGGATGTGTAAGGGACAGATATAGAAGTAAGCAATGTAGATGGTATTTTAGACATTAGCATTCAGGATCACAGTGGACAAGACTAATGGTCCATTTTATGTTGTCAAAGTGTATATTTATTGAGAATTATCTTATCCCTAAATGGAGGCACAAATCCAGATTTTTGTAAAATAATTTTTACTGTAGGTACAAAATCAGCAACATTTTTTCTTCCATAAAATATAATAAAAGCTCAGAGTCACTTGATAATGAGATGAGTAGTATATAAACTTAACAAAATAAAGAAAATACATTTCCGTTCCTTCAAATAGAAATGGAAATTGTAAAAAAAAATGTAATGCTTAATTACACATAAACACTCTCTTGGCATCCAATCACACGTACTTAGTTGAAGCACAACTTGCCAATGTATCATTTCAAACACAAGCTTGCATTTTGTAATGGTTGCTCTAATTCTAAAAACTGCCTCTAGCGGAGCTTGGTATTGTCAGTTGAAAGGTGTGTTGGGTTGTTGTAAAAAGAGTATTAATTCCCTCTGTGAGTGGACTAGCAAGCCATTTGCAAAGTCTGGACCACATATATAGTTACACTAATTAAATGCTTGCATGACAAAAATAACGAGAGACACAGATTTTTTTTGATTGCAACAAGCAGGAGCAGAGCTTTATTAGACAATTTTCATCAGTATCAAAAGCCAAAGGACAGACACAAATGAACTGAAGAAAGATAAAGTATGTCCTCCAAGAAAGTGCTTTAAAGAGTGGATGAAACAAGGATTAAGGACAACGGGGAAATCTTTTGTGATGGTCATTGACATAGAAATGGAAGAGCAGAGACCTATCTATTGTGAGGATTTATGCAGAGAATTTATGCAGATGTTGATCTTTTTTGATCGTAGAAATTCTTGGAGGAATTTGGAAGTATCAGTCACAAGATTTTCTTCCGTGTCCTGTTGAAAATGACAAAGGGGAAAATGAATCTATGGAGTAATTGGCAAATATGAGCAATAAGAACTGAGAGGCAAAACTCATGTGTTTTGGTGGTCAAATGTATTTTCTAAAGACCAGGACAAAATATGTTCCCTGCAGAGACTCTCTTTGTCTTGATAGAATGAAATAAACAAGCAACAAATCCTTTGATATTATAGTTTGCATATTACTTTAGATATTTAAAAAAACTTCTGAAAAAGGAAAACATTTCAGATACTGAACAGCAGCAACTGCTATAAATTTATTTAAATTAATGCCTCTTGTAACTTTCTGGAGACAAGCTTATTATGGTGTTCTGAAATTTTTTTTAGAACTAATCTAAATCAACAAAACAATATTTTGTTTCAATTTATCATCATCTTTCTGATGATATCATTCCAGGTTCTTTGTTTCATCTCAAAGGTAATCTATCTTTGCCCAGACCATCCTGGGCATCCGTACAGGTTGACAGAAAATTAAGATGTGTAGGAGAAGGAATGACAGAACCTGGGGTAGAATTAAAAAAGGGATCAGCCTAGAATCTTTATGTAGCCACAAGTGGACCAAGTCCAACCTCCCTTGAATTCCATTGACTCTATCTAACTCCAAGCAGGTGTTAACAATTTGTTGAGAAGATTCCTGTGCATAGGCGGTTTAGCAATAAACCAGTATAATTGGGCCTTCACATATGGACCTGGTCTATTGCACCTGAGGAGATCACAACTATAACCATGTGATCAAAGCTCCATCCCTTGTTTAGATGCACCTCACTGTGGGAACTGTTGATAAGGGACTTTTGTGCCTTTGAGTAGCCCATCAAGGAACAAAACTCCAGGATCAAAAAGTGTGTGTTTGGAGGAGAGTGTTAAAAAAAACTTTACAAGTAAATGTTGAAAAAACTTGATAACCCTTTGTAAAAATGTTTGCAGGTGAAATAAAGTACCTCACAAAATTTCAAAAGTTACAGAAGAAGACTGGGATGGTAACATGTAACTGTTATGTTGGGCTAGCCCTCATTTAAATAATCCAGACAAAGAAAATGGAAGGATTTCTTACATGGTGTCCTGAGAATCTAAGGTGGTGCCTGGAATCAGGTGTGCTCAGGATTTAGATTTTAACATAAAAGGATCAACATATATGCTAAATCCTGCCTCATTCCCCCCCCCATCAGCAACCTATATGAAGCCCCCAGTTTGGTTGCCATTTATACAAATTTTACATTGCCTATCTTTTGCTCTTCTGCCAAGCCAACAGTGATGTCCTCTGCCTATTATAGACTCCAGCCTCAAACTTAGCTCTGGTTCTTACTACTAACCTGAGAAACTCTGAACTCTGCAAAATATAGCCTCCACCACTAGTTCCAAACTTTGTGGACAACCTTAGTTGAACAAATGGATGGAACTGAACTCTCTGTTTAGGATAGCAGATGCAGAGGCCATTTTATTTGCAAACCCAAATGAAATATAATTCCTTAGGGTGCCAAACAGCTGCACAGATAATGGTCAGATGCAGCTTGGTAGTTTTCCAGCATTCCTATTTCTGATTTTCCATAGTTAACCAGATTCTGCGTATTTTTCCCATTAAAAGGATTTCCATCATTATAAAAAGAAATATGCCGCATTTGAGGTCATCTTTACTGATTAATATTATTCTTTCCTGCAAGCAGAAAAAGAACAGGAAAAAACATGTTGGTCATGATCATTCTCACCTGTTTTGCATGCCTGGGAATGTGAAGATGTAGGATAGGACTGAGGACGTGAAGAACTTCCTCCTCCAATATGTCCTCCTCCACTGAGGCCTCCTCCGCTGATGCTTCCTCCACTGACACCTCCTCCTACACAAACGCCTCCTCCACCAAGGCTTCCTCCGCTGACACCTCCTCCTACACAAACGCCTCCTCCGCTGATGCTTCCTCCACCTCTTCTACCACCTCCATATCCGCCTCCAAATCCTCCTGAGCCACTGGAAGAAGAGAAATATAATCCATCCATCCATCAACCACTAACAGAAACTCTTACCCACCCCTCAAATAAAGTAACTGTTATGACTTAGCATCAACTTCCAAGCTTCCTTCATGCTCAAAAATATACTATGATTTAATCTGGGAAAGAATTCTACCTGAATTCTAGGAGAGCAGCTCTAGTTTTGTCAATATTTGTCTATGTGGACTAGTGGTCTAAGTCAATTCAAGGCAATATTGTAGCTTTGTTCACCATACTTATTCATCACCCTTTCCCTTCTTAATACTCAGGCCTTCTTTAGACATTATACAGGTAGATTTCCCATCTACAAAGTAGATTGCATAACCTCTGTTTCTTGTCCTGTTTATGCCAGTGATATTTAATACTGCTGAATTTCAGTTCACAGGGAAGTCAACAAGACTGGAGTTTGCGTATAACTCAACTCTACCCTTCTTGGCTTTCATGTGAACTGATAATCTGCAGTATTACTATACTCTAGAGGCAATGGTAACTTCTGATTAAAAAAAAAGTCACTGAAGCAATGTCAGTAAGGTTTGTGTTAAGGTTATGCAGAATGCTCACCTTTCAAGTATAATATGACATCCTAAAAGGACTAGAATCTTTCAAGAGATGTTTGTGATTTAATGATAAATGATTATCAACATGCTTTGTTCAAGAGCCCAGACTCTTAACTCTTGTTTGGAAAGCAATCAATTCACATTTTCTACATCTCCTAGTCAACATACATTTCTTGCTGTCCTTCCTCAAGCAATCGGCGGTACTGACAGATTTCCTGTTCCAGACGAGTTTTGATGCCAAGGAGCAGCTGATATTCTTGATTCTGACTTTCAATCTCACACCGGATGCTAGCCAATTCTCCTTCTACGGGTTCAATCATAGCCTGAATTTGTTGCAGTTGCATGTTGTACCGACGTTCTGTATCCTCCAGATTGGTTTGCAGAGACTGAATCTGAAATAGGGAGGCAACACATAGGACCTGATCTTCAAGTAAATGCTGAGGTTCTTTCAGCAGAAGGAAAAGGAGAATAGAAATATTTGGCTATTAGACAATCACTTGTATAACATGCTGACTGTAATCATTTCCTCATGCTGTCACATACCATGCTAATTTGAGACTGGAGCTCAATCTCAAGGGTTTGGTACTCTCGTCTCAGCTCTGAAAGTTGATGGTTGCTTGAAGTTATCTCCTGATCACTTGTACTCACTTGTTGGCGAACCTCTTCCATCTAAAATATACGAAGGAATAAAAAGAAGAAAAAGAAAGAAAGTAATGGAACTGCATCTACATGGAGGCACAGTTGCCTCCAGAAGCTGTGAATATTCCAACATTGGAAGTTTTATTTATTTATTATTATTTATTTATTTATTTATTTTATTATTCGAATTTATATCCCGCCCTTCTCCTTGCGGACTCAGGGCGGCTGACAATCGATTAAAAAACACCAATAACAATTACAAAATTAAAATTAATTAAAAAGAAATATTTAAATATTGTCTGATTAAAATATAATTAAAACCCCTCTAAAATTGCCCTAGGCCAGTCCCGCTTGTTGGAATAGCCATGTCTTAA